TGTAGGCGGATACAGTGACTGAACTCATGACAAAACTTTTTTTTTGCTTGGTACATTCTCACCTGTAAGAGGTTTAAAATAGTTTCTGGTTCTGCAAAGAGCTCACAAATAGAAAGATGATTGGGGTCCTCTCCTGAAGCATGAGAAGGTGTCGTCCTTCAACATCTGCAGCCCAGCCAAGGACTCGATTTTCAATCCCTGTTACCTAAGTAAGACATGTTGTGTGGATTTTGCTGTTACACTTCTTCTGTTGGAGCTGTAGTGCTGTCATCCGCCATGCAATCTGACCATGAGCGTCCATATAGCAGCTGAACACTGTCATCATGCTACAGAGTTGGAGCTCTCATCTCCTTTGAGGACTCTTCTGCTTGACCTAACCATCTCATAGTTATGGGTTAAAGCCATTTGATGAGGAAAAAATTTGGTGAATTACCTGAAGAACATTAGGGCTCTCATACTGTCACATTGCTCTATATTCCTTCTTAGGTGTGCTGCTCTGCATTTTACTGCTTTAAAACATTCTTTATTACTCCCAAGCCACTGATGAAAAGTGAGCTGAATAGTGTAGCCGAGCTCTGATCACTGCAGAGCTCTCCATCAGGTGCACCATATGGAAAATTCACCTGCTGATAACTACTTTTGGATATGTCATTTAGTTAGCACTTGGTTCAGATAATGCAGCCCTTACTGACTGCATATAATGCTAATTTTAGGGAGCTGAACACACCCTAGAAGTTGACATGTACACTGGACACGTAATAACCTAATAAACAGCAGTCTGACTTCATTCTTAGGATGACAAGGCCATTTCCCTTTGAAACTGTACTGATACCAAGAATTATATTGTCATCTTCTCGTTCTTTGGTGATAGAATTATCAGTTTGTAAATGTTGCTCAGGATTAACATCCAGCTGCCCAGATTTTGGCTGCCTGTGCCACATGGCCTTCCCTTTCTGTGCTTTGGCAAATTACTGTACTCTTTGAGCCTGTGGAATGGCTCCAGCATTCAAAGAAGCATCAAAACTGAATGTAAGTTAGATAACTACTGCCTTAAGCAGAAGTCTAAGCACTTTCAGGTGTACATTCTGTGGGCTTTCTCATATAAAAATTATTATCTTTAATAGATCTTCAATGTTTTTCTTATTGTGATAGAGTCAAATATTCCTCATCTTATTCATGTGATGTGAATATGGTATTTGCATTTTATTCTGCTTTCCACACATAGTCCAGAACTTGATGTTCAAAACTTCTGCCTCCTTGTATATTTTTATGCAATTCAGACATCATCTAGAATATTTTTTTTTTAAATATTGCAAGGAATTGTGTGTTTTCTAAATATCCTTTATTGTAATTATTAGCTGTATTTTAACCTTATGTCTTGATACTTCCATATTAATTTTCTATACTTCAGTTTTAAGTTTACATTAGTTGCTCTCCCCCTTCCTCACCCTTCTATCATATATTGCTCCTTTATTTCTAACTTCATCTTTCCCTTCGCTAGGGTAGCCTTTTAGTCAGTCAGTATCTTTCTTGATTATGACATTATGGCTTTGGCTATCTAAGGAACTCTATTTACCATTTAAATTTTGTTTCTTAGTTTTGAATTCCTAGTCAATTTTGCTTCTAATTTTCTTTTTCCACTTGGATAGACCTGTAGTACTGAATCCCAAGCAGAAGTACAGGCTGGGTGGAGAACGAATTGAAAGCAGCCCTGAGGAAAAGGACTTGAGGGTGTTGGTTGATGAAAACCTCAACATGAGCCAGCAGTGTGTGCATTCACAACCCAGAAAGCCAACTGTATGCTGGGCTGAATCAAAGGGAGTGTGACCAGCAGGCTGAGGGAGGTGTTTCTCCCTCTTTACGCTGCCCTGGTGAGCCCCACCTATAGTGCTGTGTCCAGCTCTGGGTCCCCCAACAGAAGAGGGGCGTGGACCTGCATGAGTGAGTCCAGAGGAGGCCATGAAAATGATCAGAGGGCTGGAGCACCTCTCCTATGAAATCAGGCTTAGAGAATTGGGCTTGTTCAGCCAGTGCATAAGGGGGGCCTACAGGAAAACTGGAGAAGGACCCTTGCATGTAGTGACAGGACAAGGGGGAATGGGAGAATGAAAAAATAATAGATTTAGATTAGATACTAGGAAAAATTCTTTACTGTGACAGTGGTGAGGCCCTGGCACAGGTTGCCCAGAGAAGCTGTGGCTGCCCATCCCTGGCAGTGTTCAAGGCCAGGTTGGATGGGGCTTTGAGCAACCTGGTCTATTGGGAGGTGTCCCTGCCCATGGCAAGGGGTTGGAACTAGATGAGCTTTAAGGTCCTTTCCAACCCAAGCCATTCTATAATTCTATGAGTAAGTTTTGTATGCATAGCTATGTCATTATAAAACTGTATTTAAGAAGGCTAGTGGTTGAGACTGGCTTTTTTTGGTCCATGCTGATGTCCTTTTGATCAACTGCTATTGTCATTTACTGTCTGTAATTTTTATTTGCAGTGATGTATAACACAGAATTGTGACTGTGCAAGGCCTTTCTTATTAGAAAAACATTATAGATATTTTAAAGAAATCTTAATGATGTCTTGCTATTGGATGTGAAGGGATCTCTTGTCTCCATCTACCAAAATGTGGTTTTCACACTAGCAATCCTGATCTCTGATTTGACTCATTGGTCTATTAGAAACCTTCACCTTTTTTTGACAACTCACTGCCAGCTGCTTGTTTATGGGAATTGTCCCCCGATATATATACCCTTGAGGGTTTCTGCTGGGTTTTGTTTTTTTTTTGTTTTGTTTTTGTTTTTAATTCTTGCTGGTTTGTTTTTTTATTTTTAAATGTGAGTGAACTGTGCATGATATTCCTGTGGGACAAGGGCTGACCCAGGCCAGGAGGAGCTGAATGAAGATGGCTTTGCAGCTAAGTCTCTCCCCCTTCTTTGGGCCCCTTCAGAATAATTTCAGTGAAGCAGTTAAACACTTTTCCCGCAATCCCTGCTACGACATTTAGTTCATTGTTCATATTTACTGGGCCACGTGTGAACTCCCTTATAAGAATAACGAGAATAAATACTCCGCAAGGAGTCCTGCATATAAATCTCTATACTGGCTTGCATCTTCACTTTATCATTCTTTTTTGTTATAAACTGTAAAAAGTGTCTAGAGCTGGATTGTGAGCAGTTCCCCTCCTGCTACTTCAAAAAAGCATATTATTCATGTAATGAAAAGGCTTAGTGCTGGACTTGACAAAACACTGCGAAATACACTGTTGGGCACAATTCTGAACTGGCAGGAAACTGGACTGAGTGACCTAATAGGGCTCTTTCATCTCCAGTTACTTATGATTTTCAATGCTAATTAAAACCTCACTAGCTAGTGGGGAAGAACATCATGGCCAATTCAAATAACTTCTTAAAATCTTTCCTTCTGTTTATGTTTTCCACTTGCCCACTTCAATTTTATACACATATCACTGAAAAACACCCTAAATTACAAAAGTGTCCACCTATAAAGCTATAGGACAAATAAACAAAGCCATGTACACGTAGCAGCTTGCAATAAAAATGCAAAGGCCAGGAAATAAATTATTTGGCTTTATGAAGGAAAAAGAAAGTAATTTCTCTAGTTTTACCCATGTCTCCAGGTGTGCTGGATCATGGTTGTGCTCTCAGCTCACATTCTATCTGAGCTTTCTCTCTGCTCTCACCGTGTCTGGACACTGACATTTGTTCAGTGAGGATACATTTTACCTAAATAAACCAGTCCTCAAACTTCTGCTGAGCAACTGCTTCAGCTCAATGGCTTGCCAGAGAAGGGCAGCCCAAACCTGGTGGCTTTACTGTCTTGTTCACGTGTGCTGGATGCCTGGGATGTGGGCAGATATCGGAGGCTCAGCTTCTCCTGAGCTCTGGGAGGATGATGGGGGACCAGGGCTCCTGGCACAGCCTCAATGGCCACAGAGGGTAAGGTCTGGGTCTGGTGTCAGCCCAGTGAGGGACATACTGCAGCAACGAAACCTGTCCTCAGGGGCTCACTCACAAATCCAATGATTTCTTGTGTATCCTCAAGGTGTCAGAATCCCTGAGATGCTAGAGAAGACCCTAGTAGAAAACCTTTCAAAAGCTGAAAAATTGAATGGGGGGACAGGAACTGTTAAAGAGACATTAACACACAAGTAAACAGGATCACAGAATAATTCTGGGTGGAGAGAACCTCTGGAAGTAACGTGGTCCAAACGCCTGCCCGAAGCAAGGCTGGCTTTGAAGTCGAGCAGGTTGCTAAGGGCCATGCCCTATCAAATTCAGAGTATCTCTGAGGGGAGAGGCTCCACAACCTCTCTGGGCAATATATGACAGCGTCAGACCACCTTCATGGTGAGATCTTCTTCCCTAATACCCAAATAGATTTTGTAGTTTGTGTCATCCTTTCACTGTGCACCTCTGAGAAAAGTGAAAATGTCAATGTAAATAAAAATGGAAAAATCAGAGTAGTAATACATAATAATGGACATCAACTAAAATATTTCAGACAACCTGTTTACTACCTGGAAACTTTATATTTAAAGAGAAATATCCCTGAGTGGCTGCTATCACTGCAGTGATGTGCTATCTAGGAACAGTGCAGCAGTGTTTACAGTCACCTTGCTACAGAGGTTGTCAAAGCATGAGTCAATAAGAAATAAAATAGATTACAGCTGATCACAGCAGATAATTTACTCCTGTTTCCAAGAGTGACAGCTGCATTCAGTTACGTTCAACATTTTGGAAAATTGATGTAAAAATATGAATAGGTTTGTTTTCAAAACTGATCTCAAGCTGCAATTTTTGGACATGTTATTATCATGCATTCATACTGTAAAATATCACTCTCAACTCCTTAGATAGAAAACAGACTCATGAATTGCCCCCAGAACTGACTGTTAATTTTTGGTCAATTTTGAAACAATGAATGCTGCTTTGAAAATGTAATCACTTTTAAAATACTTTACCCTTTTTATTTATTTTTTTCCCCAGCAGAAACTGGATTAGACAAATTCAACCCAAATTCATTTTTGCTCTTCTGTAGCAAATTTCAGTCTTGTCAAAAAGAAATATTGCCTGGCACTGACAAGGGAGGAAATCCCAAGGAAAGCAGAGCACATGGAATGGACATCCTGTAAGAAGGTCATTTTCAGACAGAGATGTTTTTGGAGCGGTGGAATACATAGCAAATATGTATGGGGAGCCTTCTTTTGCATAGGGAACTATTAACTGTGGATGAGGTCTGAGACCAAATTACTGAGAAAAAGTTAGTTTGTTTTACTTGTCAAGCAAATACAAAACTGGCAGTGGGCTAGCGAGTGTTGTATAGGGTGGGATGTTTGATGATTTGAGGAAACAGTGGAGAGACTCCAAAAGGGTGGGCAATGTGGCTGAATTGAGCAAAAATAGGCAGTAGCAGGTGTCAGTTGTGTACAGACTGCAGGAGATACAAGGTGGTTATGGCTGAGGGTAACACTGTTGCCTCAGCTGTGGGATGCAATGCTGACAGTGGGTCTAGAGTAACGCTTCTGCACTAACCCAGACTCCCCAGATGTCACCTTCAGCAAAGCACTTCTTACTGACACAAAAAGAGTAATGGGTCTCTAGCAGAGCAGGACTCACACAGGTCTGCAAAGCCCAGGAGCATTTTGGTTCAGGGCTTCTTTAGAACCATAACCCTAACTTGAATTCAGATTTCTCATCAGGGCCACAAATGCTGCTGGGAAACCTCAGCTCCAACCAGCCACTCAGATTAAGGTTAGGGTTCAGAGAGACACAAAGCCAACAGGGACTTCAGGGGCACTGGTTAGGCATGCCAAGGGAGCAAAACACTGCACCAACATTGCTTCTTGCTTGCCTTTCTCAGCTAGGACATCCATGGTACTGGGGCCTTAGCCTCAGATCCAACCTGCTGTTCAGATTAGGGTTAGGGTTCAGAGATCTAAAACACCTACAACTCCAGGGACTCTGACACTGCAAAAGGCATGGCAAGGGAAGAGGAACTGCACCAACGCTGCTCCCTCCACATCTTTCTCATCTGGGAAACCCATGGAGCTGGGGTCCTCAGCCTCAGCTCCAACCTGCCATTCATATAAGGGTTAGGGTTCAGAGAGCCACAATGGCTACAGCTTCAGCAGCCCTGACACTGCAAAAGGCAAGCCACGGGGACCACAGCACTGCACTATCATTCCTCCTTCCACATCTTTCTCATATGGGCCACCCAAGTTCTTTGAACCCTAAATATAATCCCAATTACCCACTTCTAGTGATCCATGTGGAGGCTAGTGATACAGATAGCAGTAGCCTGGAGAACATGAAGAAGGACTACAGAGCCCTGGGAGAGATGGTTAGGGGCTCTGGAGCTCAGATGATAGCCATTTTGTCAATTCTCCAGGATACAGGGGAGAACCCCAGAAAGGCTAGGAGGATTAGCCAGGTTAATAAATGGTTAGAATGCTGGTGCCATAGTCAGGGGTTTGGGTGTCTTGAACACAGGACCCAAGTTTGTAGGCCAGGTCTAGTGGGAGCTGTTGGAGCTTTCGAGTGCGGTTTTGGTAGGAGGCTTACCAGACTGGTCAAGAAAGCTTTAAACTATATGTGTTGGGGGAGGGGGGCATCATTCCATCCCAACACACCCAGTCAGTTGCCAGCACTTATAATAAATGCTCGGAGCAATGTAGAGATATCCCAGCCGCTCCAGCCAATGAGCAGGCTTCATTTGGATCTCGGCTCGGATGCCGCCATACAAACGCCTGTAGCATGGGGAACAAACAAGAGGAATTAGAGATGTGTGCATGTCTACGGGGGTATGATATAACAGGCATCGCAGAAACATGGCGGGATGGCTCCTATGACTGGAGTGTTGGAATGGAAGGTTACAGGCTCTTTAGAAAAGACAGGCCTGGCAGGTGGGGAGGGGGAGTTCCTATTTATGTTAGAGATAGGCTGGAGAGTATGGAACTCTGGGGACAGGTGAGCAGTCCACAGAGAGTTTGTGGGTCAGGGTTAAAGGGAATATAGCTATGGGAGACATTACTGTGGGGATCTGTTACAGACTGCCTGATCAAGGAGAACCTGCGGATGAAGCACTCCATAGACAGATAGGAAAAGCCTCACGCTCGCAGGCCCTCGTTCTCATGGGTGACTTCAACCACCCTGACATCTGTTGGAAGGATGGTACGGCCCGGCACAAGCAATCCAGGAGGTTCCTCGATTGTGTAGAAGACAACTTCCTTCTGCAAGTAATAGAGGAGCTGACAAGGAGAGGTGCCATGCTTGACCTCGTGCTCACCAACAGGGAAGGGCTGGTTGGAAATGTGACGCTCCAGGGCAGCCTTGGATGCAGCGATCATGAGATGGTCAAATTTGAGATCCTCAGGACAGTGAGAAGAGTGTGCAGCAAGCTCACTGCCCTGGACTTCAAGAGAGCAGACTTTGGCCTCTCCAGGAACCTGCTTTGGAAGGTTCCATGGGATACAGCCCTAGAGGGCAGGGGGACCCAAGACTGTTGGATGATATTCAAGGATCACCTACTGCAAACTCAGGAGTGTTGCATCCCAGCAGGATGGCCAGGAGACCTCCTTGGATGGATAAGGAGCTGCTGAGGAAAATTCGAAGGAAAAAAGAGGCTTATGAAAAGTGGAAGCAAGGACAGGTGGCCTGGAAAGAGTACAGGGAAGTTGTCTGGGAAGCTACGGACCAGGTTAGGAAAGCTAAGTCTCAGCTGGAATTAAACTTGGCTAGGGATATTAAAGATAACAGGAAGAGATTATATAGGTACGTAGAAAACAAAAGACAGACCAGGGACAAAGTGAGCCCTCTCCAGAAGCTATCAGGAGAACTGGCTACCCTGGATTTGAAGAAGGCTGAGGTTCTGAATGACTTCTTTTCCTCGGTCTTCACTGTCAAATGCTCTGACCACACCACCCAAGTCTTGAAAGGAAGATGCAGGGACTGCGAGTATGAAGACCCTGGGCCCGCTGTAGGAGAGACCATCTTAAGAACCTGAACGTGCACAAGTCCATAGGACCTGATGAAATCCATGTGCAAGTCCTGAAGGAGCTGGTGAATGATTTTGCTGAGCCACTGTCCATCATATTTGAAAAATCATGGCAGTCAAGTGGAGTTCCCGACGACTGGAAAAAGGGAAATATAACCCCCATTTTCAAGAAGGGGAAAATGGATGACCCGGGGAATTACAGACCAGTCAGTCTCACCTCTGTGCCTGGCAAAATCTTGGAGCAGATTCTCCTGGAAGGCATGCTAAGGCACATGAAAAACAACAGGGTGCTTGGTGACAGCCAGCATGGCTTCACTAAGGGGAAATCCTGCCTGACCAATTTGGTGGTCTTCTGTGATGGGGCTACAGAACTGATGGACAGGAGTAGAGCAGTTGATGTCATCTACCTGGACTTGGGCAAAGGGTTCGACACTGTCCCACATGACATCCTTGTCTCTAAATTGGAGAGACATCAATTTGGTAGGTAGAGCACTCAGTGGATAAAGTACTGGCTGGATGGCCGCATGCAAAGATTTGTGTTCAATGGCTCAATGTCCAGCTGGAGACCAGTAACGAGTGGTGTCCCTCAGGGATCAGTGTTGGGACAGGCCTTGTTTAACATCTTTGTCGCTGACATGGACAGTGGGATTGAGTGCGCTCCCAGCAAGTTTGCCGATGGCGCCAAGCTGTGTGGTTCGGTTGATACGCTGGAGGGAAGGAATGCCATCCAGAGGGACCTTGACACGCTTGTGAGGTGGGCTGATGCCAACCTCATGAGGTTTAACCCTGACAAGTGCAAGGTGCTACACCTGGGTTGGAGCAATCCCAGGCACAGCTACAGGCTGGGCAGAGAAGAGATTCAGAGCAGCCCTGTGGAGAAGGACTTGGGGGTGTTGGTTGATAAGAAAATGAACATAAGCCGGCTTCAGTGTGCGCTTGCAGCCCAGAAAGCCAACCATATCCTGGGCTGCATCAAAAGGAGCATGACCAGCAGGTTGAAGGAGGTGATCCTGCCCCTCTGCTCTGCTCTCGTGAGATCTCACTTGCAGTATTGTGTGCAGTTCTGGTGTCCTCAACATAAAAAGGACATGGAACTGTTGGAACAAGTCCAGAGGAGGCCTACAAGGATGATCGGGGACTGGAGCACCTCCCCTATGAAGACAGGCTGAGGAAGTTGGGGCTGTTCAGCCTGGAGAAGAGAAGGCTGCATGGAGACCTCATAGCAGCCTTCCAGTATCTGAAGGGGGTCTATAGGGATGCTGGGGAGGGACTGTTCATTAGGGGCTGTAGTGATAGGACACTTAACTTAAACAGGGGAAGTTTAGATTGGGTATAAGGAGGAAATTCTTTCCTGTTAGGGTGGTGAGGCACTGGAATGGGTTCCCCAGGGAAGCTGTGAATGCTCCATCCCTGGCAGTGTTCAAGGCTGTGTTGGACAGAGCCTTGGGTGAGATTGTTTAGTGTGAGGTGTCCCTGCTCATAGCAGGGGGGTTGGAACTTGATGATCTTGAGGTCCTTTCCAACCCTAACTATCCTATGATTCTACGATCTTACAGTATGTTTCATGTAATTAATTCTCTTTTTATTTTCTTTTCTTCTTTCCTCCTTTTTGAATCATTGTCTGTAACTGTTCTGTATGATAGTTTTGAAAGGAGGATAAACTTGCACTTTCCAGCAGCCTTAATTTACAAACTGTAACAGTTCATACTTTGTAAAGAAATGCATGGTTCTTCATCATTTTTTATCTTTTGTTGTATTCAAAATGATGAATTTGTGCATATTCTGAACAGAAGTAAGGTGAAGAAATTGTCGATTATGTGTTAAGTAAAGGTATGTTCGAATGAAAGCCAGACTGGAAAGAAATTTGTATTAGTACCTTCAAGAACAAGAATCACTTCTATTTCACTTTATTCTGTTTGTAGGTATTTTTGGGTGGATTATAAGTGTCGTTCTCATGAAAGAGTTCCTCTTCCTAGCAGATTCTGGGTCAAGTTGTTAATATCAACCATGTGGTGATGGCCAACTTTTGTAGAAATAGTAAAGTGGGAAATTCAATGGAAAGAAAACATTTCTTCTGTTCCAGAATGTGGGCAAACACTTATGGGTGAAATAGAGCTGAAGGGCAAGAAATGTATATATTTTCTGGCCTGTCCCTTCAATATATCCATTGATTTATGTCAGGAAGGCAGCAGAATATGTTCCCATGACTTTAGAAGCTCGCTTGGGAAAGAAAGAACATTTTCACTTAAATCATAAGGATAGAATTAACCCTACTTGGAGATGGTTTAATGCTATTGCAGCGACTGAAGGGTGCGCCGAGGTAGGGATCACACAGGTTCTCTAAAGAGCTTTGTGCAATTTTTTTTTAATAATTTCAATTTGGACGCTGGATTGGACACAAGCTGCACATTTTAATATTGGTGGTGTCTGGCTCAAAACCAAGCCTGGTCTGTGAGCGTGCTTGTCTCTCACACAGATCAGGATGTGCAACATTACCCTGACAGGTGTAGGATGAAATGTATCTTGCAGTAATTTTTTTAAGTTTCCCACAGAGAAACTGAGTTGCTTTGAAAATGGGTGTGATCTAAATAAAGAGCCCTTCAGAGACTAGATGTCTTCAGAGGCCAACAACAGGCTGTGCAGCTACTTGCTAGATGAATCTCCACCTGCTGCAGGTGATTTGACATGGAAAGGGGAAAGACCTACCTTTTGTTTTAAAAGGTACTTCTGGTGCTCCCATGCTGCATGTCTCTGACTTCACAGCTTCACAGTGGCCACTTGAGTTGATCTTGGACTGGGAGACAGTCTATATTATGTCTGGGACAACTGGGCATACCCCAACAAAAATAGCTCTTACACGTTTTTCAAGTGTTTTACTAGAGGGCAGGGGATTTAAATGCGGGAGGATTGATTTCGTCCAGAGAAATGATCTTTTACAGCCTGCACCCAGCTGGATGCTTGAGGAACTGCTTTAAATGGGAAAGGAGGGAATAAAATAATTATCCTTCCCTAAAAATTAAGGGTCCTAAATTGATTTCACTCAACTTCCATCCTAAATGGAGTGACTTATGATTTACAGCAGGGTGAGATCAGAATCAGGCCTGCAGAAAAAGCCTGTGGGCTTTTTCTTGCAAAAGCTATTTTCATCTCTAAATGTCATGGACCTTTCTGGGTCCCATCTGTTCAGGGGTGTCTGCAGCATTACTCCATAGACAGGGTATTTTTCTGGGCAGAGATTTCATTCCACTGATTATTCACCAGCCTTAGTGATTGAACTTACACAGTCTATCTGACTTCACATTTCAGGTTAAGTT